TAGAGGTGATGCCGAGGTGCTGGGCCACCCTGCAGAGACTAGGGGCATCTGAGAGGCTGTTGCTGGTGTTCACAGTATGATGTTATTGAGACGGAAGGCACACAGCACAGACTCACCTTTCTTCATGTATGCTTCAGTGATGTCATTGTTCACAGAGCTGCATAGCTGTGGCCTCTACCTGCTGTTGGAACACTCCACCCACTCTCCTTCCAGCCCTGTAGCTTCTGCCTGCCTCCTTAGACTTCACATAGTGCCTGGCTTTGTGTGCCTGATTTCTTCCACTGAACGTGTTTTCAAAACATCATGTGGTAGTGTGTGTCAGTGCTATGCTCCCTTTTATAGCTGAGTGACATTTGGTGTATGGTCTGCTGAATGTTTGCATCTGATTGACAGTTCATTTATGTATTAGCTGTTGTGAAGAGTGCTGCTGTGAACATCTGTAAACACTTGAACACCTGTTTTCAATTCTTTAAGTCCACTAAAGAAGTAGGTATTTTTAGTACTTGACCCATTGCTTCAGTGGTTGTTGGCTCGCTTGAGCTTAGGTTCTATTTTCTCTCGTGTCTTCCAAGTGTATGAGGGTAAGTTGCATCTGGGAGTAGTGACACATACCTGTGATCTTAGATACTCAGAGGCTGAGGCAGGAGGATTACAAGTTTGAAGCTAGCCTTTGCAACTCAAGGAGACCTTGTCTCAAAATAAAATTAAAAAAGGGCTAAAGTATAGCTCAGTATTAGAAGGCCCCTTAATTCAAGCCACAGGACCACAAAAAAAAAAAAAAAAGAGGCATCTGCAGATATCATATCTTTTACCCCTGACTAATGGGTATTTCCTAAGACTAATAGCATTATTTTGCTTAACAGAACACAGTTATCAGTTTCAGAAAACAGAATATTAATAGGATCCTTTAATTTACTTAGTCATTGTAAGTTTGTTCACTGACCCCATAGAACCCTCTTTTTTTCCATTGCACTTGCAGTCCAGCCTCAGCCTCCTGAGTGGCACATATCATAGTCATGTGCCACTATACCTGGCTCATGATATCCTTTATATTTTTTTCTACATTAGGTCATCCCATCTAGAATCTGCATTGAATTTTTTGCCCCTCTTTTTTCTCCTGAATTTGGAGGAGTTGCTCCAGCATTGTGTTTCATGCAGTTGAAGCCCCACACCCCTTACTAGGTTTAAACCCAGGCTTTTCATACTAAGCTACATCCCCCACCCCTTTTTGAGACAGGGTCTCCCAGAGTGACTGATTTCCCCAAACTGGTTTGAATTTGTGATCCTCTTGCCACAACCTCCCAGAGTATTGGGCGTATAGGCATGCACAGCCATACCTAGTAGTCTTTGGCTTATTTTGGTGCACATTGGCTTTCTGTCTGTTGCTGAAGTTTTCTGGTGTTTGCTTCTGATGAGACTTGGACATGTGTCCTTACACAAGTGCACAAGAGGTATCCTGTCCTTCTTGGTGCCCTTCTGGACTTCTCGTGGCAATGTTGGTGTCCCTACTTGGTCCAGGGCCATCTTGTCTCTGGGAGATAAGGTAGGCTCTGCAAGTGTCCTGACGTCAGCCCCCTCTGGGGCCCTTGTCTGTACCTTCTCACAGTGCAAGCTGTAGGGAACAACCTTCAAAACATCCTCCTCTACCAGCCAGTGTACATATTCTCATTTATTCCTCTGTTTCTTACTGCATTGTATTTTATTATTTACATTATATTTACTATTGGAATGAACTCATGTGTTCTTATTTTTAAAATAGTTTATAATTATTTTCTCTTTTTCATTATTCTGATGCTCAGATTATTCCAGATTTGGCCTGGGGAATCTGTTGAACTATTTCTTATGTCCTCTGGATGTGGCCTGTCATCTTCTCAAAATTTCTCACCTGCAGACCCACACATTCCAGGCACAGCTGGTACCTCCCAGCTCTGTGGAGACCAGAGTTGGTGCCCAGCATCTGGGTAGACAGAGCAGAGATTGTGAGCAGCTGTGCATATTGTGCACACATAGACATACATGCCCAGCACACATGCATGTGTGTGTATGTGTGTTCACAGGTACAGTCTTACTTTAGAAGTCTTGGGTTTAGACTGATCCCTTTCCACTGATTCCTGCTGTGCTCTCTTTGTTACTAGATTGGGTCTGAAGTGGTCCCTGAAGCTGAAATACGAACCAACCCATGCTTTTTGTAGAATAAATTTGCAGGATTGCTGACTCATATGAAAGACCCAGTTTTTAGGACTAGCCAGGAAGAGGCATAGGAAGGGTTTTATTAGGCAGAAATTAAAAGATTCACACTCAGTACAGGACCTCAAGGGTAAGAGGGACACATTATGAGCCAGAACTGGATATGTTTATAGGGTCTTGGAGGCATGTTGGGGAAATCTAGGCTGTGTGACCCTACCATCTATCAGGTTACTGGTCTGCTAGGCTGTATCAGAATACAAGCTGTTTCTGTGTGTCTGAAATTGAGATTTGCTGCTTTCTTGAGGCTGGAGGAAGCACATTTAAGGTGAAAAGAACAAGTCTGGAGCCCAATTTACATGCTCTGTTTTTAAGACCTTTAGGAATTATTTAAGTGAAGTTTCTAGAAGAGAAAAAGGCCTGACTAACTATTGTGTGCTGAAGCCATAGGGAGTGTTTCTTTGTTTTTTTAAGTGTAAGGAACAAGAGGCAGAGACTAACTGAGACCACTAAACTTGTACAAAGGCATGGTGGCCTGGTGTTGCCTTGTGCTTGGGTGTAGGCAGAGGGAAAATAGGCCCACTGTAGGGGACAAAGAGAAGTGGGCCATCTTTATAGGGATTGAAAGAAGGTGAAGGACTTAGGCAGGAGGGTCTTAATAAACCTCAGGGGTTAGAGTTCTCTGGCTGTTTCGCACCTCAGTGAGCAGAATCCTCCAGGTGTCTGGTGTACATTTTTAGGTATCTCCAAATATCTGGGGACCTGCAAGATTCCTTGTCCTATCTTATCTCTTTGATATCCTGTGTTTGCCCATGACAGCCTCAGTACTAATCTCAGGCTAAGAACAATGCCTGTGCTGGCAAACAGGTCAGGGGCTGGGAGAGTAGGGTCTGATTTGAGCCTTACATTAAGTGCAATTCTAAAATCCAGATTTTTTGTCCCCCCCCACCCTTTTTTTCCCTGCCTATTTTTAAGTTTTTTAAATTCTACCTTACCCCTACCTGTGATGGCTGTCCTTCAGCCCTGAGCACCCTGGAGTTGTACACCTTGCAGAAGGCAGCCTCCTGAAGGGCACTGGCCAGTAAGGCTTAGGAAACAGGAGTCACCATTCTTCACTGGGGTCAGGGGCTGGGGGACACCATCTGGAGAGTTGGAGCACAGAATGTTGAAACTGTAGTCAGTACTAACCAAGTAATTTTCATGTGCTTAAGAGTTACTACTCTCCAGTCTTCCTAGGACTTAAACAGCTTAGTTTAAGGGAGAGAGTTGTGTTACCAGGAAACAACAAAGCAATTAAAACGCCTTGATTTTATCTTGTGGTGTTCCTGCCAAAAATAATTAAGTTAGCTTCAGCTCCCAGACAAATGCCCGCAGAAGGCTGGGCAGGCTGTGCCCAGAGCCCCGTGAGGCCTGCCACCTCAGCTCTGCCTGTCTGCCAGGCACGAGCTCTGGGGCCTCAGGGCAAAAGAGATTCCAGAGGGTTCCGCCTTGTGTCCAGCCCCCAGAGGGTCTCATTCTGTAAATGGGGCCTCTGCCTGCACCTGACCACCTAGCCAACCATCCACTGGCCTCAGAGCAGCTCTGCTTTCATTTCCGAAGGCTTGTAGCACTCACTTTCCAGGTTAGTAGGGCTGCTCTGTCTTGCCTGAAACCCTACCACCACCACCCGTTAACCTGTTTGAGGACAACCTAGTGGTCAAGAGCCTCATCCAGCATGGGAAGGACAGTGGTGTGGTGAGGAGCAGCCTCTAAGGTGTAATGCCCCAGTGTGCTGTGAGGACTAGAGGACACACAGTGGCTCTAGGGGCTAGTTTGTAGCAAAAGAATGTGTCCCTGTTTTTGCATCTCCAGTTGGGTCTGGCAGACGCAATCCCTCAGTCCTTTAGGGGAGAACTCCACTTTGCCTTTCCTGTATGGCCAGCCTTGTAATACAGTTTAGAAAAGAGAAGGCAGTGACCTTGGCTGACCTCTTTGTGCCCAGGGCTGTGTGGCTCTCTGTGATTCCTAGATGGGTGCTTTTGCTTGTTAGATCCCAGTTGCCCTGTGTTATGGATGAAGGAGTATGGGCTTGAGAACCAGAAAAATCAAGGTTTCTGGCAGAACCACTTACCAGCTAAGGTTTTGGACAGTCACAGCCTCAATTTATTCTAAGTGATATGCATGGTATCTGCCTTGGAGGATTGGTAAGAGAACCACACACTAAATAGTTCTTTGTCTTATTCCTCATCTGCCTTACTCCAGCTCCCTGTCAAAGCTAAAACTTAGAAACATCAGGTCTCCAATCTCTGCTTGCCTGGAATACCTGTGTGACCCTCTTTCAAAATGGGTATGAAGGGCACATGGAGGTGGATATTTTTCATGTGGTTGGATGCTCATGGTGGGGGCCAGGCTTGCTGTCTTCCTATCTTTGAGATGGAGGGCCGCCTGGCACCAACACTGAGGTCAGAAAGGGAACTTGCTTCAAGTGTATTCCTGTCAGAATCTGTCAGGTTTACAGCCAAGTCTAGTAAAGTGAGTTTGGTGCCAAGGATACCACACCCAGTGGCAGGCTACAACCTGTGAAACCTCCTGGAAGTACTAGGTTCTATCCAGCTGGCCCCAGAGAGTGGCATGAGAGCTTTGTGAGGCTGTAGGCATATTTTCCTTTGTGAGAAAGGAGCAATTCTGGTACTGTGACTCTTTGTGAAGGCCCTTCCCCTTGGTCCTCATCTCACCCCACCTGGGCAGCTGCTTTTTAGAAGAATCAGCACATGATTTCATTTAACTGATAAACACTGCACACTACTAGCAGTTTTTTTCTTTACATTTTAATGAGAACTATTTATATCGTCATCATTGTCCCCACTGTTACATTGGTAATGGCAAATTCTTCAGTGTACATGCAGAATGTCATGTTGGCTTCAGTCTCATCCCATACTCTGGGAATTGCAGAGACTGTTGTAAACAATATAGCAATGAGGTGGGCATCTTCGGGTGGGCAGACTGATGGAGCAGGCATTCTGCTAAAGGAGGGCCTTCCCAGCTCAGCACCCAGGTTTACCTGGCTGATATTTGAGGGTTGGCTAGAAGCAGTGCTGCAGCACTCAAAGAGATAATGCTGGGCTGTGTGCAAGAGGAACACTTCTTCCTTTTCCTCTTCAGCTTAGGATATACAAGTTACCACACGTGTAATGAATTACATTCACACTGTGGGAAACATCCAGTGTAGATCACTAGGCATATTCTGTCTCTAGACTTTATTTCCCTCCAGAGCCACTGATAATGTTGCAGGATTACCTTTTAATGAAGTGCTCACACAGGGATCACCCTCTTCCTTTTGGCTGCTGTTGGTCAAGAGCAGAATCATTTTTCACTGGGGAAACAGTGTATGCAGAGACAGCTGAGCTACAAGCCGTTCCTATGCCCTTTGAGACCAGAGCTCTCCAACCTGCAGTCTTGAGTGCTTAGTCCCTTGCAAGTCTATGAGCAGGACAAGGCCAGGGAGGAGTAGAGCAGGATTTGCCCAGCAGGTGTGACTCACCACAGGATGGAGGTATGGGAGTGTGATGCAACCATGCCTCCTGCTCATCTTGGCAAAATACATGCTCTTTCCAGCAAGGCTCCTCACACAGCACTGCTGAACTTGGTGTCTGACTGCTCATTGCTGTCTGGGATAACTGCCTTCAAGGCTGCATGGCAGAAGCGGTTCAGGGCTGGTAGGTTTGTCTTCTGTTCAACATATAGCCTCAGCTTGTCTCTGAAGGTCTCCCCAAGGAAGCTATAGATGAGAGGGTTCAGGCAGCTGTTGGAGAAAGCTGCAAGGTTGACAATGTGGCCTGTCAGGGGGTAGGCATGACGGAAGGACTGTTTGCAGGGAGCGTCCCCTGGCTGTGTCCGTTGCAGGAGGTGGACGCTGATGAAGACATTCTCAGGCAGCCAGCAGATGAAGAAGACCAGGACCACAGCAAAGATCATGCGGAGGGCCTTCTGCCGCCGGGGGCGCAGACCTCGGTGCCTGTGAGCCTTGATGAGGACCCGAACGATGAGGGAGTAGCAGAGCCCAATGATGGCAAAAGGGACAATGAACCCCAGGGTTATCTCCAGCCACTGCACTTCCTTGACATCTGCAAAGCAGAAGCAGGCCTCCTCGGTATGCTGCAGGTGGACGGCTGTGAAGGGCACCAGGGTGGCTGAGACAGCGGCCATCCAAATGAGACCACAGCTCAGCCTAGCACGATGCTTTGTGCGGAAAAGGCTAGAGCGCATAGCCTTGGCCAGTGCAACGTACCTGTCGAAGCTCATCCAGGTGAGGAAGAAGACACTGCTGTACATGTTGATCTGCAGGAAGAGAGACATGAAGGTACAGAGCACGGCAATGTCATAGTACTGCTCATCCAGGTTGAACACCTCAATTAGGGAGTCAGCCACCAGGATGAGGTCTGCTGCAGCCAGATTGATGAAGTATAGGTCTGGGATTGTCATCTTTTCACGGAAGCTGATGTTCACCACCAGTATCAGAATATTCCCCACGAAGCCAATGGGGAAGAGAAAGATGGTATAAAGGCAGGAGAGGAAGAGGCCGATGACATACTGCTGGTGCTCGGAGAGGTCACTCGTGTGATTCACCAGGGCAGTGCCAAGCAATAGCTGGGACAGGTTGAGTTCTGAGGAGGTATTGTTGGAGGCTGCTGGCTGTACAGTGCCTAGATCGATCTCCACATCAAGGATGGGGGCTAGGGAGGTCACATCCATGTCTTTACCACACCACTTTCAGGATTTGCCAAAAGGGTCACAGAAATCAGTTTTAAACAGTTTCATCTTTAGAGAGGAAGGTACTTCTCTTTTAACAGAACCAGGCATTTGTATAGCAGGAAATGTTGTTACGGGGAACTGTGTGATGGTTTGGGTTGGTCAGCTGCAGAAGTTGAAGGATTGCGTCTGGTTGGTCTGTGGCAGCATTTTTGGGGCATGGCATCTGTGTTCTCATTGCCTGGGCACCTGAGAGAGCAACAGGACAGGATTAAGGCTTGTAGTCTGGGCCATTCTGGTGGATCCCACAAGCACTAAGGGAAGGCAGCGCTCTTGGCTTTGTGGTCTTGGGGAGATGATGTCCCTGAGCTGAAGTAGAAGTAATGAACATGGAAAATCTGCTTTCTTGGCTCAGGGCTCCTGGAGTTGCCTGGTTTAAGTTGAAGACAGCTATGACTCATCCCCTGAAGCAGTGGGTAACAGTCAGTTAGCAGGAATAGGGAATAGCTTGCACACTGGGCATGGGAACCTTAGGAAAACTACTGTTTGTCAGCACAGGAAATAAAATTTATTTCAACCACTGTTGGGAGAAGAAATAGCATGGGAAGGGAAAAACCCAGCTTTTCTGGGTAGTAGACTCACAAAATCTGGTAGAAACAGAGCAATCTCTTAGCATAAAGTAGGCAAAGTAAATTTAGATTTTTGTGTAATACTAGTACCAAGTGTAGTTGCCTGGAGTAACACTTTTTCATAGTGTGGAATGAAAAACAGAGTAAGGAATAGAAACAGCAAGAAATAATGTTAGCTGGGCATAATGGTGCATGCCTATAATCCCAGGTGGTTAGAGACAGAGGCAGGAGGATCGCTTGAGGCTAGAAAATTGAGGCCAGCAAGGGCAAGACAGAGAGCTCATTTCAAAAAAGAAGGGAGAGATAACGAAGGGGAGAAAAAAAGTTAAAAATTGTAGTCAGTGTTTTAACAAACTACTGTAATACATAATATATTTTAAGCTGGTGTGGTAGTATACACCTATAATCCCAGGTACTTGAGAGGATGAGGTAGGAGGATCATAACTTCCAGACCAACCTGGATAACAGTGAAATCCCGCCTTAGATAAAACTCCAACATAAGAAAAAACATGAAATATTTTTGTAATGCTGTTTTAACCTAGAAACTGGGTAAAGGAAATCTCCTTCAGTGTTTGTTTGCAATGGGGAGAAGCCATGGACATGGGGCTCCTAGTTGCCTGCGGCACTGGCTGTATCCTGAGTTCTCTGTGGCATAGCCAGGGTTCTTAGCATGTCGGCAGTCTCTGGAGGCACTGGGTTCTCACAGCTGGGGTGGCTGCTGGCATCTAGTAGATGAGGCTGGTGATGCTGGCTGGAGGGTCTCATTTTTACCCTTTGAGGTCATTAGGAATCTTTTTGAAATGGTACAAGGGCAGACTAGTAATTTATTGACCTCTCAAAAATACTGTTTAAAAAAATAAGAAGGAAAAAGGAAGGAAGCCAGCTGTTCTGAAGGTGTTTTATCACCTGTGCCGGGCTGGGACTATAGGCTTGATCATATTGACTGCTTTGTGTTCTTTTTTGTTTTCTAATTTGAGCATTGTAACATGTCATTGTTCTTAGCATCTGTCTATGAGGATGAAGGCCTCTGTATTGAATAGCTTTTTAAAAACTGCCCAGCCTCTAGCTTGCTCTTTGAATGTTGGAACCCTGGAGCATCTTAGGCTATAGCACAGGGCTGGTTCCAGGTGAACAGACCCCAAGAACTTAAAAATATAAAGATGTACATGGAGTAGTTTGGTATCATTTGTTTTGTCTCCTGTTTGTCTTTACCTAGGAAAAGGATGGGTTGAGTGTACCACCCAAGCACCCTGGGTTGGCAGAAGTGCTGTACCACAGTACAAGGCAGAGCCTCAAGTGAGACACATTCAGGCTTGAACAGAGCTGGCAGAATGGTAGACTAGATAAAAAGCACAGTCCGTGCTGCAGCTACCCTGGGTTCCCATTTGGAGGGTGGGAACCTGAGCTGCTCTCCCAAGAGCACATCCTGTCATTTCAACCATAGGGCTGTAGCTGTGGTCAAACCCCAGAGCCCAGGTTGGTGTGCAAGCCTTACCTGAGTCACAGACGGGGCCTCCCTGAGCCATCTGGGATCTGGGAAGACCTTTTTCATGTTCCCCACCTTCGGCAGTTTGCTAGAAGTACACTTGGAATTTGTTTGCAGCGATGAGGTCCTGGACTTGGGACCCTGTAGACAAGGCTGAGCATAGGAGCAGCAGGAGACACAGAGAAGAAAGCCGTGCCAGGGGCGGCTGGTGGAAAGGTTCCCCAGGAAGCCTGTGGCTGTTAGAGGCGCAGTCTGGCCCCCTTGGCGCTGGGCCGGCTTTATAGGCTCCCAGGGCCCTGCTCATTGGGCCTGGCCGCCTCCCTTTAAGGCCAGTGTTAACCATTTTTTTGCTGGCTTCTTTTCTCCCATTCTTTGGCAGTGAGCTTAGTGCCACTAGATACATGGAAGTTTTCAGTGTAGCTCCTTTTCCTCTTTACTTTTTTAAAATTTGAAAAAGTTATAATAGATATTGTTTAAATTTTAAATAATAGCCTAACATCATTTGTTCAAACAAGCTATATTATTTGTTTGACTTTAAACACTGAATTTTATAAGTTAACATAGTAGCATGTAATACATAGAAAATTAAACTGAGCTTCACAATGATATTTGCTGAAAATAACTTAAACCTAAGAAATAGTAGATATTTTGGCAAGAAATTCAGATTCCAAGTTGCTTTGCTGATGTATTGGTTAGTTTTGCTTCCCTTCTGCTCCAGAACTGTTTAATTGTACCTGTTCTTCCAGGTGCTGGTGGTGGGTGGATAAGGCCCCCAACCCCACTGTAGCCACTTCCTTAGGTGTAGACTTCTGCAGGCTTGAGCCTGGCTTCCATTTCAGATATCACTACTGCTTGTTAGATTTTCACTCTCCATTTTGTTGTTTGTTTGTGGTTTTTTTGAGACAGGATTTCACTATGTAGTTCAGATTGGTCTTGAACTCACTGTGTAGCCCTGGCTGGCCTTGATCTTTCAGTGAGCTCAGCCATTGGTCTTGAACTCACTCTGTAGCCCTGGCTGGCCTTGATCTTTCAGTGAGCTCAGCCGCCTGAGGTCTGGAATTGCAGGTGTGTGCTGGTTACCCTGTACTTTGGAGAGAGGTTGACAGGGTCACCCTGGGGTAGAGAGCAGTTCCAGACTTGAGTATTCAGCCCCTGAGACCTCCTATCACCTCAGACCTGAGCTGCTTGGCTGAATTAAATTTTAATTGATATCATTTGTACTTTCTTTCTGGTGTTTTTGTTTACCTTTGTTTTGTTAGTTTTTGGGGGTTGAGTTTTTTTTTGGGGGGTGGTAGTTACTGGGGATTGAACTCGGGGTCTTTACACTGAGCTACATTTCTACCCCTTTTTAAAAGTTTTCAGACAAAAATCTCCTTTTTGCCTTAACTGGGCTCAAACTTCTAATCTTCCTGCTTCAGCCTCCCCGAGTACTGATATAACAGATGTGTACCACAACACCTGGCTTCTTTTACCTTTTGATATTTCAAAGCTGTGAGTTTGGACAGAGTCATCTTATATGTGCTAAGCACAAGCACTGAAGAGTGCTACAGCCCAAGGACAGGTGGGAGTAGCATGCATGTCTGCAGAAGGCTCTCGAAGGCCAGGACAGCAGGTGTCAGCCCAGGATGCAGGCAGTCACTTGTCCCTTGCTGTGCCAAGCTTTGTTTTGTAGTGAACAAATGTGCTTCAAAGCATTCTGTATGATACTGGTTTGAAATAGTTCAGAATTGTATTTTGGGGCTAACATAGATATTTTTAAACAGAATATGGTGTTAAATATTTTATGGAAAACACTAACATTTGGGGTTCTTCCAGCTGTAGAAATTCTGACTTCTATATTAGTTTTTCTTATTTGAGTAACATGATAAAGAGTGGTTTGACCCTTAGATATCTTTTGACCAGCTGCAGAGCCAAGATGATTTCAACATTAAAAATGCCCATGACACCCTTTTGAAAGAAATAAGTCATGAGAAAGTACAGCTTCCTCTTGAATTAAATAAATAAAATAAAAACCCAAGCCTTGAAATAGCCAAAGCATGTCACTTAAAAATAGCCACTCCCTGCTCTCACACACCCACTGCCCAGTGCCTCACTGCCTGTAGGAGAGGTGAAGAGACTGTAGGCCCTACAAGGCTCTGAGTCTTCTGCCCCTTGACCATACCCTTGCTGGTAGGTTTGCACAGCTGGTTGATGCTCTGGCTTTAAGCTCCTGATGCAGGACAGGCCACTACATTTGGAGCACTGAATAGTTCTACTGGAGAACTAGGTGATTAGGCAACTTGTCAGATCACACAGCTGCTTAGTGCAGGGCTGAGCCTAAATGTGTGTGGGGAATCCAGTCCTGTGGCCTCTTTTTCAAGTGAGGATGAGAGGTGTCTTTGGGAAGTTTCTGGAAAGCCTTCTGTCACTTTTAAGCCTGACATTTGATGAGGGCTTCCTCTTGCTGTCCTTCATGATGCTCTGCTTGCTCTGCTTCAGGGATCCCTCTTCAGAGTTGTGGCTGGCTCTGAGCCACTGTTCCCTGCCCTGGAGTGGGACTGAGCCCTCAGGGATGCAGCATGAGAGGTACAACAGGGCAGGCCTGGGACTGGGGCATGTGGCATCTGTCTTCTGGTTGCTGTGCTACATTGTGGTCATGCCATGTTGTTCCATTGTGGAAAGATGTCTTTATGGATTTTCAGAGAAGGTAACATTTTTGTCCATCCCAGGATGGGATAAATGGAAGTGGAAAGAACTGAAAGAGAGTCCAGTTGAATCAGCTTGCATTTCATTAGGTATGCATGCAGCCAGATACTGGATAACACATAGAGAACACCAGTAAGATCATCCTTGGCCAGAAGCCCTGGAAAGAGGCATCCCCAATGCCTTCCTTCACTGCGCATGGGCACAGCCATTTTCTGGGACAGTCTCTCATTCCACCACCTCTACTATACATCTCCTCCTCATCTGCTTCCTATCTTTCCCACTTGCCTGTTCTCTTCAGTGGCATAGGAACTGTCTCCACATCTTGTGGCCCAGGGTCCCCCTCGCTCCTGTGACAACCTGAAGCCCTGAGGCACACTGTTATCATGGTCCAAGCAAGCTCAGTGTTTGTCATGGCCAGAGTCCATCTGTCCAGTTCTTCTGTCCACATTGGCTATGTGATGCTGGCCATTCACTGAGCTGTCTTGAGTCTCAGTGGCCATGTGTAACACAGGGTGTTTGGTCTGTGGTAATGAAACTGGATGGCTCTGTAAGATTGTCCCGTCTTATGGGGGCTTCCCTTCCACCACTGCCACCACTGCCACTCAAGAGGCAGCGACCTGGTTGAGAGCCCCAGAAAATTCCCAGTGACTTGGGCTTTTCTCTGAGCACTAATGAGGGAGGTGGCTTAGTGGTTAGAGGTTCTTGTGGGGTCACATGCACACTTTAGTGAGGAAGTTTAATCTATGTTGGAAACATAGCATGAGGCTTAGAGGAATACTCCTCTGATATTTCTGTTGTCTTATAAGCAGAACCCTCATGCAGAACATTGTATATTTTCTCTGATGAATCAAAATTAGGAGGAGCAGGGAGCTCAGAGGCTGTTCTTATTGTCTCCCACCTTGGTATGACTCTCACAAAGCACTTCTAAACATGTTATCCTCAAGACAACCCAAACTGTTAAGCAAAACAAGCACCAGTCACCCCTTTTCTTTATGAAGAAGAAGACCAGGGCCCAGAGAGTCTGAGACCTGCACAGGTCACACCCAGCAGCAAGTGGCAGGGTAGTGTTGTGTCCTCCTGGGTCTGTGCCCCCTGCCCCCAGTCCTCTGCATCATCTTCCGTTAATTCATCACCTCAGGGCATGTGTTTGTGGAGTTGGCAGCAGCCCTTTGAAGGAGATGAGCATCTGTGTGAAAGGGCCCCAGATACACAGCGGGGGCAGAGGAGTGCACAGCACAGATGCTCTCCTCACCATCCAGGCTGTTTCCGAGAGAAGGTCAAGCTTGGCAGTCTGATTGTGCTGTGCTTTCTGGCATGAGAAGGAATTTATAGTACTCAGGTTGTCCACCCTGTAGCACCAGCAGGGAGCAGTCCTGGTGGCTCCATGGGTGTTGACTTTTTGGACAGCTGGCTCCTTTCTGTGGTTGCTGGGAGCGTCCTGGTCACTTCCTCTTAATTCTTTGAGAGCGATGGCAACCAGAACTGTGTGTGTAGCTCACAGAAGTATGGACAGATGATGCCTTCTTTTTTTTTTTTTCCTTTTTAATTTATGAATTTGATGTGGGGTCTTACTACACAGCTTGGACTCATAGTGATCCTCCTCCCCAGTGCTAGGATTACAGCAGTGCACCACCACACCAAGTTTTGGTGGCCAGCTCAGCAGGCTGTGGCAGGGCCAGCATGACATGCGGTACCGGGGATCAAACCTTGGTCCTTGTGCTTGCCAGGCAGGTGCTTAGACAGCCGGGCTATCTCCCCAGCTCAGATGATGCTTTCAGTACTCTGCTTGGGAAGCATTTTTGGGTGGGAAGTTTGAGAAGAAGCAGCTCCTGACCTGAGACCTTTTCCCAGCCCCACCTTCAGTGACCACTAAGATGTGTTCCTTTGGGAGACCAGATAGGCTTCAGTGATTTACCCCACTTCCATGATCAGTTCTGGTTTTTCTCCTTTGAAATTAAGATTTTGTGCACCTTTTCTTTGTATGAGAGTGTCTGCTTGCTGCTAGAAACACACTTTGAGATGTTTTCTTAGTTTACTGTTGACTGTGGGTCTTTCTCTGGCTCTTTGTCTCTGCTCTGTTCAAACTTTTGTGACATGAAGGGTAAGTGGCCAGGTATAGAAACAGAGGGCTGGAGTCCAGGCAACACTTAGCCCTGCCTGTAGGATTTGCCTCAAGTGTTGTGGCCTGGGTCCTTACAGAGAGGTCCTAGGTAGGATCTGGGGACCCTATGTAGAAGCCAGTGGTAGTATCTGAGGTCCCTATAGAGGGGCTTTCAGTGGGTTTCTGTGATCTCTTGCTGGTCCTCCCACACCCCCAAGCAGAGCACAGGCTCTTTTAATGTTTCATGTTGGGCATCCTTATAAGCCTTTTTAAAAGACAGGATCCTACTGTTTGAGAACTGCCAATGGACATTTTTGTGGTCATGTTTCTAAAATTAGTCCTTTGACCGAATTGCTCAGGAACTCAGTATAGCTGGGGGCTCCAGGCTTGTCCTGTTTCTTTCCCATCCTAGAATCTGTTGTTTCTGCCAGAA